CCGTCTGTCTCAGCAATACCAGTACTGCTGTGGACGCACAGCCAGGACGCGCTTACACACAAACACTGAGAGGCATGGATTCACACCGCACACACAAACACAAATAGTTCCAGCTGGGGTTACCCCTGCAGTTCTCCGAGCTATCTGTAAAATGAACTCAGATTTAATGAGAAGGACTAAATACCAAGTGAATAATAAACTAACTGAACTGTATAGTTGTTGCTCAACATTTAAAGAGCTGCAGGTCAACCAGGTCATGAAAAGGGAGAAGCTATATGCTGGAGGAGGGGATTCCTGGTCATTCAACCTTGAGTTTAGATGTTACTAATCCATCCAACAGTATAAGAGATCTGTTTTTTGTAAATAAGATGCAGTTTTTAAAACATGCCACTAATTAGCTGGCTGCTAATTTTGACTGCCTAAGTCTAATGATCAGTGTTAGAGGTCAGTGCTTTGTGTTTTCAGTGCTAAAGAACAGGTGGTGAATGCTAAACAGTTTGTTATGCAAATTCTCTGAAAACATGCACAATAACAACGTGTCTTTTCAAAACTCAGATGAAAGAAAAGCAAAACTCTTCGATCTGTTAGCTCCTTACATGGAGACTGTTTAAGCACAGAAATTAAAATGATCCTTTCAGCAGGAAGGGACCAAAAGATAAATCGTCTCATGTGTTAATCAGCAGTAACCACAGTCCAGCATGGTTTATGGCTGATCCCTGTAGAGCCTTATAATGGCTGAACTGGTTTGCTCTGCTCTCCAGTCACACATGAAACTGGGTTATTCAAACTGGAATGAGGAAATAAACACTGGGAAATTTGTTTCTTTACAAATGAAACGCTTTAAAAGAAAGAAAAAAAAAAACTGGCTCAAAGACCTGAAATGTTAGAATGACAATGAGGAACAAGTGAGTTTGTTCGGCATGCCTGTAAACCTGATTGTCAATGCAAATATCTAAACCGTGAGTTTCATGGCAGCAACTCGGTGGCTTCAGGCAGTGACTTAAAGACGACCAGCTCTGGGTGAAAAATACCCTGCTGATGTCAGAAAACTTGTCCTGTCAGCTAAGAACAGGAAACTCATACAGGCTCACCAAAACTGGACAATAGAAGATTAGAAAACACATCGGAGAGTCACATGATCTATGCTGTGGAAAACTGATGCAGTTCTGAAGGTAAATGGGGGTCTAATGCAGCACTAGCAAGGTGCACCTAAAAGTTCAGATGAGTGCATGTCTACATTTTTAAACATATCAGCCATTGCTGCTATAATTTCTCTCTGCATGATCCCTGTGACGCACTGCCAACCTGTCCAGCTCTATGACAACAACAACTCCAGGCCTCCTGGGACGTAACTTGGATAAGCAATTAAGAAAATGCATGCAGGGGCATTACCCTTGTAATGATCAGGTGTACATAATAATACGCTTACCACAGCATTCTGTTTTGTGTACATATAGCT